GTCTATTGGGGCCTGCGTTGGGCTTATGTAAGGAAATGACACTTTCCAAAATTGGGCAAGGCTGGGCGCCCATCAAGCCCACGTGCATTGTGTCATTGTTCCCACTCAGCATAAGTTTGCAGATGACCACGGGCCTTCCCTGCTTCTGCACAACTGGCCCACCCTAATCCCGGCCACCCACTGTGTGAAAGCTGTGCTGCCGCACACAGTGGCGGGCAACATCAAGCTCACCTGGTCGAGTCTCAGCCTGTGGAGGACAGAAGTAAAGTGACTTGAATTGTAACACATAGACAGCTCTGTATAACTACAATGGATGGCTATGCAATCACAATCATATGCTAGGATGTCTGAATGGATGGAGTCCTCTCTGTGGTTCTTGCTGGAATCAAATAGGTATTTGATTCTCACATGCATCAAATAGGCATATGATTCCCATATGCCTGAAACAGCTTGTGGCTGTGCCAGTGCCTATCTCAACACTCCCCCTGGCTTAGATGGTAGGCACATAAGTGTAATGAGGTGCTTAGGTGCAGCCATGGGGAAGGCAATCCTCAGTGTAATGATTGTCCCATGGTGTAGTGGTTTAATACATGCACTTTTTTCAGATGGTCCAGGGTTCAATCCCCTATGTCTGCAGGCACATACGGCAGATTGTGAGCGTACCGATATGAGTGGCAATGCGAACTCATGCACGGCGCCTGCTGCGCTGCCTGTAGTTACCAGGAGGACAATTATTAGGGGATTCAATGCCATACATGATGCTACTTAGAGGTTATGTGAAGACACGACCTAGTTGTTGTCTGATCTTCAGGAACTTCTCATGTCCCAAGTTCTTTGTGAACATGTCAGTATGGCTCTCAGAATATTCAATATAGAGCAGCTCAAGCTCCTTGTTGCTGTAGCGCGCCCAACGCGAACACGCCCGCCGACGTCTGCACTGCCACAAACAGCCACAAACAAGTACACCGCTTCGTTATCGCGCGGCCGTCGCTTTCCTCTCCCCACCACCAAGCCACTAGGCCGAGACTGGGCCATCCTGACAACCAATGTGAGCACATTGAGTCAAAGGGGCCCAGAACCTTAGGAAGCTGCAGTGGCTGGACACGAGCGTTGTTCTGTCATTGGGCTTCCAAGGTTTTTATCTCGTGTCTCGTTGGACCTGTCACCTCATTGCCCACACTATCTATGCCCCAAACCACCCGTTACGTCGCCACCGCTGTCGCCGTTTTCAACCACCACCACCATCACCCTCTCGACGGCCGCCGACGTGCTTGCAACACGCACTGCTCGATCCTACGACGTCACCACGTTCCTGACGCCCTCATGGCATGACAACCGTGGCAACTCCGGCACACACCTGGGCATCACAGCGACCGCGACAACACCTCGATCATCGCGGGCTCGAGCATTCGGTTTTGATCACTACAACCCTCGGCGACAAGCAAGAGCTTCCCGGCAGCTTCAACAACATTCCACGCCCTACTCTCCGGCCCTGGCGCGATACGAGGTGCTTGCGGATTGGTGCACGATGGATTCCAAGATACGCAATGTGATCGGTGAAGCAGGATTGGATGAACGCGGCGGACACGTAGGGATATAAAGGGCCCATCGTACGTAGTCTTGAGGAGCAGCAATCCCGATTAGCATTTGCTTTTGCCCCGTTTTAGCTACGAGTTCCGTCATAACATATCCTTACTACATCCAATCTACCTCCCATTCTGGCAGCCTCTGATTTTGCCTCAGTTCTCGCACACTAAATACATTGGATAGGCATAGCCCTGTCCCAGCACTACATTGCCATGCTCATGAATAAAGTGATATAGCACATCAATGTGTTTGGAGCAGGGTTCAGTAACCATCTTAGATGCATTAAGTATCAATCCTTGGTTATCACTGCAGATGGATTATTGGTCAAACCGGTACCCCAGCTCCATGAACAAAGCTCTTATCCAGAGCATTTGAGAATTACAATCAGTGAGTACCATGAACTCAGCTTCTGTAGATCATAGTGCAACAGTTTCTGTGCTCGTGATGTCTAGGAGACTATGCTGTTTGCCAATTTCATGAAGCACCCTGTGATAGACCATCTTTGTCAGGGCATGTGCTCTCAGGATGGTAGCAGAGATGCTGTTGCACAAGGCAGGGAGGCAACTGAGTATGTATATGAAGGGCCAAAGGGAAATACACATACCTGTTGCACAAGGCAGGGGGTTAACTGAGAGATCAAGTCTGAGATGCTCCCTGGTGTGACAGGTGACTATATAGTAGCTGAATAATCAATCAACAAAGGGGCGGAAGGTCCAATGAGAGTGAAGGAGGGTCCTCCGCAACCAACACATGACTGGCGGGAGGGCCTAGGGTTCCCATGCAAGTGGTGGAGGCCCTTGGGGAAGCAATGTCAGGGCACACCTCCCACACTTGCCTCATAGCCCCAGGGTTCCACTTTTAGTTCTGCTTCTTGTCCCCATTTGCTCATTCCTTCCTATGCTTCTGCTCTCCCATTCTGGTTACATCATCCCATGCTGTCGCGCGAACTGTAGTGCTAGTATATAGTCACACAGTTGCCTAGGGTCCCGGTCTATCTAAGTCGGGGATGACCTAGTTGAATCAGGAGAAAGAAATGGGCTGCTTGAATGTATTCACTTAAACAGAGAACTACACTCTGTCCTTTTGTCTGTACTGGAAATCTGTTCCCACGCTTATGGGGAAGTCACTGAGTATGTTGTCGGTCTTCTGGAAGCGTCTTGTCGCTTCAACGTATCCTGTTTCCTATCTTCTGGAAGCGTCTTGTCGCTTCGGCGTATCCTAATTCCTATGTCGTATGTCCTGGAGTGATACTTAGATCTATTGCCTAAGTCAACACTCAAATATCTTCCTAATTCCTATGTCGTATGTCCTGGAGTGATACTTAGATCTATTGCCTAAGTCAACACTCAAAAGCATCTTGTCGCTTTAACGTATCCTATTTCCTATATTGTATGTCCT